AATACTATAGGCAGCTGTAACAGTGGTAAGTGTTTGTGTCTCTAAACGTATCTAGACATAGAAAAGATATTATAAAAAGATGGTATGAAGAATAAAACATGGTGTACCTGTGTAGGGAATTTACCATGAATGGCACCTGCAGGACTGGAGGTTGCTCTGGGTGAATCAGTGAGTCTATCGTGAGTGAATGTGAAGGCCTAGGACGCTACTGTGCACTACGGTAGACTTTATAAACACTGTACACTTAGGCTACACTCAATTTATAAGAAAATATATTTCTTCAATAACAAATTAATCTTATCTTACTGTAACTTTTTTTTTTTTTTTGAGACGGAGTCTTGCTCTGTTACCCAGGCTGGAGTGCAGTGGCGCAATCTTGGCTCACTGCAACCTCCTCCTCCCGGGTTCAAGCGATTCTACTTTAGCCTCCCCAGTAGCTGGGACTACAGGTGCGTGCCACCAGGACTGGCTAATTTTTTGTATTTTTAGTAGAGACTGGGCTTCACCATGTTAGCCAGGATGGTCTCGATCTCCTGACCTCGTGATCCGCCTGCCTTGGCCTCCTAAAGTGCTGGGATTATAGGCATGAGCCACTGCGCCCAGTCGTTAACTTTTTAACTTTATAAACTTTTAAATTATTTTTAGCTTTTTGACTGTTTTATAAGCCCTTAGCTTAAAACACAAACATATTGTAAAGCTCTACAAAGATTATTTTCTTTCTATCCTTATTCTATAAGATTTTTTTTCTATTTTTAAACGTTTTAATTTTTTTCCTTTTTAAGCTTTTTGGTTAAAAATGAAGACACAAACATACACATTAGTTTAGGCCTACCTAGGGTCAGGATCATCAATACTACTGTATTCTACCCCCACATCTTGTCCCACTGGAAGGTCTTCAGGGACAGTAACACACTTGGAGCCATCATTTCCTACAATAACAGTGCCGTCGTCTGCAGTGCCTCTTAGAGCACCTGCCTGAGGCTGTTTTACAGGTCATTTCTTTTTTTGGTAAGTAAAATGAGTACACTATAAAATAATAGTGTTGTACAGTAGATACTTAATAAGTCATTTATTATCAAATATGTACTGTACATAATTTTATCTGCCAGACAATCAGTTTGTTTACACCAGCATCATTATAAACTTGGAAATGATGCATTGTGGAATGACATTATGACAGCTGTGGCAACGCTAGGCGATAGGAATTTTTCAGCTCCATTATTATCTTATAGGACCACTATTGTATGCGGTCCTTTGTTGATTGAATGTTATTTTGTGGCACATGACTGTATTATTTGCATTACTATGTATTTTACATTTATACATATTACTGAACAGGGTTGCGTACACAAGATTATACATATCACCCTTTAAACAATTCTGTTATAGGTGATTTTTGACAATGCTTGATTTTGCAGCGTGGGCTGACCTTAGAACTTAACCCCGACATTGGATGTAGCTCTAGTGTGGTGAATATATGCCGTATAGGTATAGACTGCTCTGTACTGGGTATAATTCTACATATATGGTGGCAGGGACTAGTGGAAAAGGTTTTCGCTTGAGGAGAAGAGGTCATCTCCTGGTTCTATTTCTGTCCTACCAAGTACTAACTTTATTGTGGTATAAATTGCTTAACTTCTGTCCTCCAGCTTTTGCCTTTGTAAATTCTGAAACCTGTCAACTCAGTCCATAGGAAAGGTGCGATAAAATATTTGATCTTTGGAAATCTATGATTTGCTTTTTAGATAATAAAGCAGCTTCAGTTGAGCTTTAGCTGTGTTATTACAATAGAACAGAGTTTAGAATTGCCTGTTCTAAAGTTGTTGAGCAAACCACTGAATTCCCTTTAAAAAACAACTATGAGATGGTTAATTCAGTTGTCTTAAAATTTTTAAAAATAATAGTTTTCTCCTACTACATAATAGAAGAATTACATGTTAGAAAGTTTGAAAAATAGGCTGGTTGTGGTGGCTCATGCCTGTAATCCCAACACTTTGGGAGGCAGAGGTGGGCTGATCACTTGAACTCAGTAGTTTGAGATCAGCCTGGGCAACATAGTGAGACCCCATATGCATAAAAAATACAAAAATTAGCCAGGTGTGATAGCACATATCTGTAGTCCCAACTATTCGGGAGCCTGAAGTGGAAGGATCGTTTGAGTCCAGGAGGTTGAGGCTGCAGTGAGCCGTGATCATGCCACTGCACTCCAGCCTGGGTGACAGAGCGAGAGTCTGTTTCAAAAAATAAAGAAGCTTGGAAAATAGAAGTGTGTGTGTATATGTATGTGTACACACACACACACACACACACACACACACACATACACATCACTATTTCATTCAGAGATAACTTAATATTTTGTTATATTTCCTTTCAGTCTTTTCAAAATACATATTTGAAATTATTTTAACATAATTGAAACTAAATTTTATAGCTTTATGTCTTGTTTTTTCTTTTAGGATTACATAATAAACATTTTTCTAAGTTGTTAAATAATTTAGATTGACTTGTATTTTGTATAATATCTCCATGTCACACGGATGGCTTAAATTGGATTTTTAAATTTAGATTTTATATCATCCATTATGGAAGGACTTTTAAGGTTTTGACAATGTAGCCATTCTTGTAATATAAAAAAGAACCCTAAACTTTTCACGTTTTAATGTTATCAGAATAAAATTATCACTAAAGCTGCTATTACAAACATCCATGTGCAGGATTTTATGTGGACATAAATTTTCAACTCATTTGGGTAAATTTTTAATACATTATTAATTTGATAATCTTTAAAAATATTTTAAAGAAACTCAGGAAAGTTTGGAAAATAATTCTCCAAGCCTGAATCAATAAATGTTGTGCAATAAATGTTGAGACCTTATATTGCAAGAAGATTTGCAAAAAGTAGTTGCTGGTTTTTTTTTTCTTTTTGAGACGGAGTCTCACTCTGTTGCCAGGCTGGAGTGCAGTGGTGCAATCTCGGTTCACTGCAGCCTCCGCCTCTCGAGTTCAAGTGATTCTCCTGGCTAATAATCCTGAGTAGCTGGGATTACAGGTGTGTGCCACCACGCCCAGCTAATTTTTGTATTTTTTAGTAGAAACGGGGTTTCACCATGTTGGCCAAGATGGTTTTGATCTCTTGACCTCATGATTCACCCACCTCAGCCTCCCAAAGTGCTGGAATTCCAGATATGAGCCACTGCGCCCTGCCTGCATTTTTAAATTAAAGTGTAGTGATTTCCTTACTGCCATTTTTTTCCACCTGGGGCACAGATTTGAATCTTAACTTTGATGAGCAACTCAGTCCTATACTAATAAACCCGAATAACTTCTTTTTTTGTTGTTGTTGTTGGTGGGCCCCAGGACCCTCACCCTTCTTTCTTAATCTTGAAAGAAAGGATAAAGAGATGATAATGTTAACTCTGCTGTGTGGATCTGAAAATGATGTGTGGATACCTGCCCGTTAGATACTGGACTTTTACAAGTGACATTAAATGAATATTAAAATGACAACAATTTTTGGACTATATTCCAGCTATTGGCTGGAGGTGAAAGATGATTAATCAGATGCCAGTACTCTCTGCCTCTTGTTTTTCATTTTACACATTTTTGCTCTTCTCTCTTCCTTTTTTTGTATGATATAAATAAAATAAATTTCAGCAATGTGTAAATAAGCACAGTATGAACTGTAGGATCTTGTGTGTTAATACTTGCTTGTTTTTGAATGGTTCACTTTCATTCAATTAAAAATATATTTTATATAGCTGTCTCATTGAAATATTTTTAATTTTGTATCATCTGCTAGGCCTACCTATCTGGCCATGTTTCAAGAGAATCTAGAAATATAAGAATTTGATGATCCTTCAGTTGAATGTTGACATTTGGGATAAGATAGTTTTACCTCTGAAATTATCTTTTAAAACAAATTACATTTAATTGACAGTGATTATGTTGTATATAAATAATTGTATTCTTTTTAGCATTCTCTGAAAATTGCATAGTAACTTTTGGAATCCCTGTGGTCCTGATTACCTACTGAAAATTTATTTTTGTTAAAAAATCCTTTATTCAAGATGTTTAAATCAGTTTTTAATGAAAATCATTTAAAATTTTTAATAGAACTTGTTTAACAGAAAGATTTAAAATTGTTTATATTATAGTTGTGAATCCAAATTGATGAGCTGTAAAGGTTGTGGGTATCCTCACAAAATTCTAGGTATTGCTTTTTTTGTATATAATGCAACTTTAGAAGGTAATGTATAAAATGTGGATTATTACGGTGTGATAAAACTGTTTTTCATGTTGACTAGATTATTGTAGAAATCATTTATTTAAAATATGTTTAAAAATAGAATCTTTGAAAAAACCCAAGTTATTTTTTAAAAATAACTTCGTATTATTGCTTTAGATCTTCTTAATTCTCTGAGGTGGAGAAATTGGATTTCTTTTCCTCTGTTTTTATACACTTGATCTTAGCCAAAAGGCCAAGCAGTGATTGCCCTGTTTTATAGATGTTACTCAGGTAGAGTGACTTGCCCAAGGTCACATCAAGGTAAGCTATAGAACAGAGGTTAGAATGGACCTTCTGGTTTAGTGCTTAGATTACCAAACACTCTTTTACAATATTTTACCATAATCAGTGGTACCATCTTGTTTCTTTGTCTGTTACTACTTAAAGAATATAAATTACAACTTAACTCTCTAGTATTTCTTCAAACTAATGTGATCAGAAAATGTTGGGGAACTAGGAGGTGAGAGTGAGCATATACTTAATTTTTGATGATTTAGTCCTAATGAAGAAGCATACATTTACCTATAAATAAACAATGCAATGCTAATCATTTTTTGTCTTTTAGCCAGAACAGGTAAAGGAATAGCACTGGGTGAATGTAAATGAAAGAAGCTAACAGGAGAGGTTCAGGGCTCAAACATTAGATTTGTTGTGTGGTCTTAGTGTGCACTATTGCATCCAATAAGGGATTCTTCTATACTTTCTGTTACAGATGCTGAAATTTTCTTCTAAGGAGAAATATCCCTTATTTACTTTTGTAAATGGTCATTCCAGAGACTATGATTTCACATCGACTACAACCAATGAAGAAGACCTTTTTTCAGAGGATGAAAAGAAACAATTAAAAAGATTTAGCACAGAAGAGTTTGTCTTGCTTTAAAGACATTTGTGCTTGATGAGAACAATTCCGTTGAAAGGGGAAAGTATATTCGAAACGTTTATTTTCACAAATATCTCAATTTTATATGTTCTTTAAAAAAAGAACATTTGAAAATATAAAATTTTAAAGATATTTTTCTAAAAGAGAAACGATTTAATGAATCTTTCTTTCTAATAAATAAATTGAGTGATTCTGGTTGCATTCCTATTTCCCTAATGTCTACTAATGATAACTCTATCTTAACTGTAAGCCTTTTAGTCTTCTAAGTCTTCTACCTGAGCCCATTGTTCTCATGGAGGTTTTGTGATACTAATCCTCCCCTAAAGACTGGGATCACCAAATAGTTTCAAAATTCTCAGTTTGTACTAATGATCAGAAGATCAGAGAAGGAAACTTTAATGCTGTCTAGCTGCCTGCTATGAATACAATCAGATAATACTTTTGCATATGTCTTGATAATTAAATAGTATTTGTTAACTGTGATATGCACTTACATAAGCAGAATTATGAGTTAAAGGAATACTTAGCAATATGGTTTTATAATGGCTCCTCATTATGCTTGCTGTTGAACCTTTGATGAGGAGTGAATATTGGATTTCCCCCACAAACTTAAAGGTTATGTTATTAATACTATTATAACTGCATCCAATCAAGTCAGATAAAGGTAACTATAAAATAGTAGTATTGTTCGTTTCCTATCTCAAGGGTGAAATTTTATGGAAACTCAACTTATACAGTTTTTAAATCTAAAGTACCAAGAAAGATGTCACTAGATTCTCTTATATGTGGTTTTTGTTATTTGTATAAAGCAGTGTAGTGGTGTTTAGAAGCTGAGGCCACCTGTAAGACAAATCTGCCTTACGTGTATTATGTGTTACTTAAAGGCAAATTTGTGATCTAAAAGTACAAGAGTGATAATGGAGGTAGGATTATGAAATACATAATAAAGATGTGAGAGATAAAATGCTTGTTTTGGTTTTAATGTTGGGATTATTTTAATCCTTTCATTTGAAAAATCAGTGTCTCAAATGAATTCTGTTTATTTATAATAAATGCATATAATATTGCTCTGAAAGCAAAATACTAATTTTTTTAAATGGAGCTTTTATGTTTCAGTGTAGAAACATGACTTATAAAGACATAAAATTGTGTATCATCTGAAGTCATTGATCTCTTCCATCAGAATGCCTATTTGTTTAGAGCCGCATGCAAAGCTGAAAGAGAGGGTGGGCAGATTGCTTTATATGCCTGATAAGAAAAATCAGGTTTGACATTTCTCAGTGAGGATGACTTACTGAATTCAAATAGCCTGAAATCTAAAAATTTTCTTCAGTCTGCATACAGTTAGGACAAATTAAGTACAATACTAATTTTCCTAGAATGTCAAAGCAATATAGGAACAAGAAGCCAGTGGGTATACCACATTTTATACACTGCAGTCCTTTGATCTAAGCTGTTGGAATTTACTGTTCCTACATAGCTGCATTATTCACAGGATTCTACAGTAAACACATCAAATGAGAGCACCCATACACCTTCAAGTGGATCTGAATCGGTTGTAAATGTTCTTGCAAGAACTAATATAAAAGCTTAAGAGTTACAGAATAGCACAGTTACTTCCTCAACATATTTAGCGATCATTTTAGGTAGATTTTTGGAATGAGACAAAATTACACCGGGGCAAAATTAATGTCAGAGGAGGCAGAAACTTCCTTTACGTTGAATTGTATGGAAAAAACTTAGTATATTTTACAGACAAATCTTATAATACAGTCATCCTCATGACTAGGAATAAATGTTTGGAATCAGAAATTGTTAGCATAATATGCACACATAAAACTATTGACTAACATGTGAGTGAATGAATGCATGCATGATAATTGAGAGAGGGTCAATTTATCTCGCCTGCTAATTCACCTTCAGCCAAAGACCAGCCAAGAGTTACGCTAATCTTTTATTGTGAAGGCAGCAACAAGAGTATATCATTAGATTTAGAATAAATGTATTATATATTCTGGTTTCAGACTTTGTTGTGAAAACAGATTTCATTTCAAGTTCTGACAGCTAGTAAACTCAGTCAATAAAGCTTATGGGTGATCTCTTTCAGCCTGGAATAAAGGAAAGTCAAAAAGGACAAGGTTCTAAGATGAGTGTTCTGTTAGAATTATGGTAGGAGAATCCTCCATTTGCACATCAATATTAAGATCCTGGATTTTACCATTAACATTTCAGAAATGAATTTTTAAAATTCTTGATGTGACTTTTTGATGGCGAAGGTTTCTTTTCTCTTTTCTTCATAAGATTTGACACTTTGAATCCCCTTTTGTCAATGTGTTAACCACCAGCAGGCAATTGTAAGAGTCATAATTTGCTGAATGAGTGAATGAAAAGATCCTTTGCGGTGTTAAGTATATCCAGAAGTATTCCTTGAGGTATTCATATTTCTGTTTTTACATTAAACCAACCTCATTAAATCTGTATTAGTGAGAAGACAACTTCAGATGATTAAAAATTTAGGTTACTTTTGTGTTCTGTTAACATCAGTATTTAACATTGTCCAAGGGCAAACATATCTAAATATGTGTGTTAATTGCATCAGTTTTTTGAAGAATTAACAGCAAAAATGACTTAGCTATATAATCGATCTAATTTTATATAAGAATCTCTATTTTTTAGAGATCTCTAGTTCCCTTTTATTATTCAATATTAGGAAGCACTTTATTCTTTTTTTTTTCTCTTCAGTTTCTACTAGGAAGAAGTTTCATTTTCATGGTTTGTCACAGATCACCTTTAATAGCTTGCATTTGACATTGTCTTTTCGACTATATGTTCTTACATAATCACGAAAAGCTATAAAGGATTTTCTAAAGTCAAGAAACAGGAGGAAGGACAGATAATGACAACTTAAAAATATGAAATCACTACATGAATTGTTACTTGAACAGTTATAAGAAGGAAACAGGATTTAAAATCATGGTGAAATAGGAGCAAGATATTCAGAATATATGATAGAGGCAATTCTTGGAAAGGATAAGGGATGATTTTCTATAAAAAGAAGAGTAAATGTCTTCCCCCAAAAATCTTTAGGCGAGTAAATATTTATTATGTGATATTTATCATAACCTCTGTATTGTCAGTCAACCACCATTCAATAGTGTTATTCATTTGAGCCTTCATACAGAGTACTCAAATACAGAACTGACAAGGTGAAACATCAGGCCAGGAAAATTGGAAACATCCTATTGATTCTAAAATATAAATTTTATACCATTTTATAGTTTGAATCTTAAGTCAGTTTTAAAATCTTAAGCATTTTTGTGTGGCTTTCATGGTTATTTAAAGACTTTTTCCTTGCCTATAAACTTTGAAAAATATTGTATTTAGAGTTGGTATTGCAGACACATTTTTGAGTTAGCATTTTCCTCTCCTTTCCTTTTTACAGTCCTTCTCGATGTTATTGGTGGCAAGCAATGGCCCAAAACATTCACAACTACAGTTATAAAATTTCACTTATTCTCTCACAATGATAAGAAAAATATGCTAAATGTGGAGAATACATGTTATTAGAAGGGAAGATTACTCTTTTGCTATGCTATGCTCTCTCTAGCCAGTTCTTCCATAAATGAAACAGTCTTCCAAAATTGTCATCCAAGAGTGAATGATAAAAAAGTGTTCTTCTCAGAATTATCTTTCATTTATATTATTTAAAACTTATAAATACAATACATATTTATTTTTATACTATGATAATATACATAAAAATAGAGAATTCAGGCCGGGTGCGGTGGCTCAAGCCTGTAATCCCAGCACTTTGGGAGGCTGAGGCGGGTGGATCACAAGGTCAAGAGATCCAGACCATCCTGGTCAACATGGTGAAACCCCGTCTCTACTAAAAATACAAAACATTAGCTGGGCATGGTGGTGCGTGCCTGTAATCCCAGCTACTCAGGAGGCTGAGGCAGGAGAATTGCCTGAACCCAGGAGGCGGAGGTTGCGGTGAGCCGAGATCGCGCCTTTGCACTCCAGCCTGGGTAACAAGAGCGAAACGCCGTCTCAAAAAAAAAAAAAAAAAAAAAAATAGAGAATTCAAGGGTTTTATAAGAAGTTGTTTTATAAGCAGGAAAGGTAAACAAAAGAAAGTTGAAATCCGATAGAAGTTATAACAAAAGGATGAGAGAATGACAGCAAGTTTTGAGTGTGTCTAGGCAAATACACCATAGCAAACTGACACAGATAAAAATACGTGAATTAAAAAGTGTGGGCTGGGATGATTTCAGATTAAATGTAGGCAGTAGAAGAATGTAAATACTGATAAGAGACAGTGGATATGGGCTACCATGTTGCAGAACTCCACGGAGCACTATTTTTAGTATATGTTATATGAATGGTGCTTCCTGGAATTGTACAATGTAGCATTTCAGTTCCTAATATTTATACTGCTTGCTATTTATGCCACACCGTTCAGTTTACTTGTATTGAAATATAGCTAATGAATTTAAGATGGGAATTAGATCTGGGATTAATGAGACAACATGAGTTCTGGGACTTACATGATTGCATAATGGAACAGGTCAGGAGAGTTCATGCTCAACTGTCTGGTTATTGAAATTATTTCTAAAATACTTTAAATATATATCATATGGAAGTGATCAACCCATACTTACATGATATTCCAATATATTACTTTCATTTTTCTATATTCCCTTCTACCTTAGGTTCATATTCTTGTTACTCTTTAAGCATGTTCAATAGGTTGAATTTTTATTCCTATTTTTATAACTATTCTATTAATGAAGACAGCCACCACTTACTCAGTCTTTTGTATTTGGATCTGTGTACTGACTTATGCCTCTGGCTTGCATGTTGGTCTTTCCTGTGACTTGTGATTGTCTCCTAGACCTGACTTCCTATGCTTGGCCAGTTTTATGGCCACTAGACCATGTCTATACCTGGAGAGACACTCTTGGTTTTGTATGTAATATGTTCCCATAAACACTTGAGAATATGAAGGAACTGAACAATAAATGTTTTAAAACAATGTTTTAAGGAAGATTCTTACCCAGAGAGTTAAAAATATTATTAAAATATTTAAAACAAAATTATTTTTAATCATACAGGCTTTACATAGTCTTGATGATACACTTCTAGTATCTCACTGATGTTCTTTATTTTTGTTCTTTTGTAGTAGAACATACAATTGACTGACTTAAAGTTGACTTATAGTAGAATGTACGGTTGACTGAGCATTTCATTGAGGCTAATGATTATTTCTATCTTTATATTTATTAAATTTATGAGGTCTACATTTCTTAACACTAGTTTTAGCACTGTGATTTTCTGTTTTCCTGCAAAATAAGAGGGAATGAAATATAAAATCCAACAATTATCTAATCTGCTATACAAAGATTGTGATATTAACTGGTAGGCAGCATCAGCTCAGAGCTCAAAGTGCATCTTTGTCAAAAAGTCCAAATTTTATAATGTTTAAGATGGTTCAGAGTGTCATATATGTCTAATGTCTCCATAGGTCTGTTTTCTGTCTTTTTGTTATAGCCATTCTACTGAGTGTGTGAAGTGATACCTTGTGGTTTTCTTTTTTAGATAATAGTTTTATTGAGATGTAATTCACATGTTAGACACTTCACCCTTTTAAAGTAAAATAACTTTAAAAACCACAATTTAGTGGTTTTTAATATATTCACAGAGTTGTGCAATGATCATCATTACCAATTTCCAGAGCATTTTAATTACCCTAAAAAGAAACCCTGTACCCACTCTCGCTTTCTATTTCCACCCTTCTTTTTTCCACCGCCAGCTCTAGCAACCACTAATCTACTTTCTGCCTGTACGGATTTGCCTAATCTGGACGTTTCATCTAAATGGAATAATACACTATATGGCCTTTTGTGTCTGACTCCTTCAAGTTGCCATAATTTTTTTCAAGGTTCTTCCATATTGTTGCATGTATTTGTTAGCACTTCATTACTTTTTTATGACAATAATATTCTGAGATAGGTATACCACATTTTCTTTATTCATCAATGGATGGACATTTCGGTTTTTTTCTACCTTTCAGCTGCTATGAATAATGCTGTTCAGAACATTCATGTACATGATTTTGTGTGGGTGTACATTTTCATTTCTAATGGATATTTGCCTAGC